AAACCATAGGTACTCAAACTTGTCTCTGACTATTGTAGATGTGTTTAAAATACCTGAATGTTAAATACTGAAAATTTATATCTATATTTTATTTCTACTATCGTTACAAAATACCGTTGTTTACCATACTATTTAAGACTTGCTTGAACTTAATATCTCTTTCTAATCTCTGTAATGATATGGTAATCAACAACCTGATATAATCTGAACTTGACAAGGAAATATCTCGAAATGAATCAGTCAGCAAGACTGGTGACAGAAGGTGACTGTGATTTTAAAACAAGCTGTGTAGTTTGGCAAAAGTAAGATAATTCTAATCATCCAGATATTGTTCGTTTTTGCATTGCCTTTGAAAAATGCTCGATGGATTTGTTCGTCGATGTGCCGCTGAAAAGTTGAAACAATAGCACCTAATTTGTTTTCTTACGAATGCGCATTGTTATTCTATTTTTAAGGACGTTCGTTGAAAGCGAATTCTCAAAATATAAGAGAATTTCCTGATTGTGTAAAGTGATTATATAGCCGAAAAATCCTGTAGCAAAAAAAGCTCAGAAGGAGAAGCATTACCATCTGATTTTAAATTTAAAAAGATTGAATTTCGCTTGTTTTTTTCCTCTTTGAATTTCGCTTGTTTTTTTCCTCTTCTGAATACAAGTTGGTTCAGTAAGTGGTGCAGCCAAATGAGACATCGTGGAATGTCGTAGTCTGGGCAATAGTTTTATTTATTTTATAATGGTTTTTATGAATTCATTGTCTTCTTCTTCCATACTTTTTTCAATATGCTAAATCTCTTTCAATCACCTTATCTGTCAGACCAAACTAGGAATTAAGGAATTGATGTTTTTTTACCATTTCGTATTTTCCTTGTAATCTTACCATGCAAACCCAATTATCTACCCATAAAGTCTCCAAATGTTAAGGGTCAACCTATCTACTATTATGATAAGAGATCTCGAAGTGCTAACAACTCAGCGAAGGTATAACGTGTTTGTACATGTACTGTTTGCAGTGATTTACCCATTTTACCTAACCACTTACCTATGTATCTCATAGTCTTACAACACAACTGCTAACCTTTAATGTTATAAAGCTTTCACCTTTTATCGCAATCCTATCAGACTGAGGAGCCAAAGGTGGAACGAGTGGAGAGGGTAATTGTCGACAGACGACCGGATAGTACGGCT